CCTAGTCAGACGCAGACCGTGACGAACGCACTGTTGCAGATTGCGATAGTGCGTGACGTATCGGCGCTTATCGTACAGCGTGGCTAGGAGTTTGCTCTGCCGCTTCCCCGGCGGCTTATCGCGCGTGGGACAAAACGGTAAATCGGCGTGAGCGTCGTGCGCGTCAGCAGGATAGTCGAGATCGACCTCGAGAACGTAGCCGACGGTCGAGTCCTCCGTCAGGGACATCACGTCGAGACTCTCGAGGTCGTCGACCCACTCGAATCGCTCGTACGGCAACGGCTGACACATCGCCCAACCGTACAGATTGTTGATATCGAGATATATCAGATAGATCGACGGTCGCGACGGATCGTACGCGCTCATGTATTTGTTGTTAGCGCGAGAGTATCTGCTGGAGCACTGACTCAGACCGCCGCGTATTCCGCGTTAATAGATGTAGTAGGCCGGTTCTAACCCAGGTCCTCTCAGGGAGGTGAGGTGCGAGGGGATCTTAGCGGAGCGGGGGTATGACGTCACGCGGGGGTTGGGGGGGGGGTCGTAATGACAAGCATAAACAAAAGAGCGGTATTCTTTTGAAAAGGATTTTGGACCTAATCCTTTTTTGGGTCTAATCCTTTTTTGTTCTTTTATTTTATTTTATTGTATTTTGAAAAAGATTTTGGGGATCTAATCCTTTTTATTGTTCTTTTATTTATTTTATTGTATTTTATTATATTTTGAAAAAGATTTTGGGGACCTAATCCTTTTTATTGTTCTTTTATTTTATTTTATTGTATTTTATTATATTTTGAAAAAGATTTTGGGAATCTAATCCTTTTTATTGTTCTTTTATTTTATTGTATTTTATTTTATTTTTTAAGGAAAAATTTTAATAGCGCTAATGATCGGCTGCTTTGTCTGGGGATTACTCGATTAGACACAATACAATTGGACACAATTGGCTTTGATTGACTAATCGGAGGTGTCTCCCTCGTTTACATATCAGCGCCGATGTTCGGTTGCTTTGTACTCTCGAGGTACACCCGTAATAGATAATTCCAGGTTTTTTTTCCCGTTCGACGTATAAACAATAGAGATTAAGCGGACAAGCTTTCAGAGATTATCGGGGACACAAAGAAATTTTTTTTTGCAAATGGGATACTATAGAAAACCTTGTATAATTCTTTTATACAAATGGTATATTCTAAAACCTTTTATACTCTTATACATATTTTTATGACTTTATTTCATAAACTTACTGTTCGGGATCGCGCTTTCGATTCGCGAATTTTGTAAGACCGGGTAAGCGCGATTAAACTTTGCCGGCACATACCCGCGGGGGTATCGCAAGCTCTCTCAGTGCGTGATCGCGTAAGGAATACTTGATAGGAATGAAATGATCTGCAGTTGCGACTTAATGTGTTACAGTAAGACCGGTGAGCGAATTACTGTCCGTTTATTGTTAAAGTCACAAAATGATACACGTTTGCTGGTCTCAAGACGCGATGTAGGGTGAGAGCGCACCACTACGCGGATCGCGTGAGAGCGAGCGAGACAGCTATCGATCAGCTGTTAGCGAGATCGAGCGAGACGGCGCTATATCGGCCGTTCGCTTGAGAGCGAGCGAGACGGCGCTCTATCAGCCGTTCGCGTGAGAGCGAGCGAGACGGCGCTCTATCAGCCGTTCGCGTGAGAGCGAGCGAGACGGCGCTATATCGGCCGTTCGCGTGAGCGCGAGTGAGACGGCGCTATATCGGCCGTTCGCGTGAGAGCGAGCGAGACGGCGCTATATCGGCCGTTCGCGTGAGAGTGAGCGAGACGGCGCTATATCGGCCGTTCGCGTGAGAGCGAGCGAGACGGCGTTATGCCGCTCGGATAAGCGTTTGAGCGAGACCGCACTATACACGTCAGTCCGCTGGTCCGATATAGATAGAATGAATATTGCTATCTGCGAATACGCGAACCGCACTGTTCACGACTTGACACAAATGCGAGAGAGACGACGTTATGCCGCTTGTACTAGAGTTCGAGCGAGACCGCACTATACACGTCGGTTCGCCACGAATGCGAGAGAGACGGCGTTATGCCGCTCGTACTAGAGTTCGAGCGAGACCGCACTATACACGACTCGCCGCGAATGCGAGAGAGACGGCGTTATGCCGTTCGTACTAGAGTTCGAGCGAGACCGCACTATACACGACTCGCCGCGAATGTGAGAGAGACGGCGTTATGCCGCTCGTACTAGAGTTCGAGCGAGACCGCACTATACACGACTCGCCACGAATGCGAGAGAGACGGCGTTATGCCGCTCGTACTAGAGTTCGAGCGAGACCGCACTATACACGACTCGCCACGAATGCGAGAGAGACGGCGTTATGCCGCTCGTACTAGAGTTCGAGCGAGACCGCACTATACACGACTCGCCACGAATGCGAGAGAGACGGCGTTATGCCGCTCGTACTAGAGTTCGAGCGAGACCGCACTATACACGACTCGCCACGAATGCGAGAGAGACGGCGTTATGCCGCTCGTACTAGAGTTCGAGCGAGACCGCACTATACACGTCGGTTCGCCCAATGTTGAGATAGATAGCTGACTTGTGGCTATCTATGCATACGCGAAACCGCACTGTTCACGGCTCGCGGGAGAGTGAGCGAGACGGCGCTCTTTCGGCCGTTCGCGTGAGAGCGAGCGAGACGGCGCTATATCGGCCGTTCGCGGGAGAGCGAGAGAGACGCCCAGTTCGCTTGAACGGAGTTGCGGTACGACGAAGGCTCCGCCTCTGGCTGAGAGTGGAGGCGCTCCGAAAGATCCCGGCACTCGCGTTTGAACTGTTCACGTGCACTGCGGACACGATGACTGGCGCGCACAATGTTACTTCGCGAAACTGTTACAATGATTGAGGCTCGCGGTTGAAGGATTTCACACGCGTGAGACTAATGAAATGAATCTTAACTTTGCTCGTTAAGATTATCGCGAACTCTCGAATTTGCACTATTTTTACTCTCCGTATGACGCTCCGATCACTATGATGGAAAACGGAAGACTCTCGGGGAGAAAGCCTTTCTCCCGATAGATAAAGATTTGATCACGGATCGTATGATCGGACCTCGACGTATCCCTGATCATTACGTCAGATCGCGTGATATATAAGCCTGTTTATTGGCCAGGACCGTGTATTATTTCGCGTGATCACGCGGATCCTGGATGAGTTTTGAAAAACAGTAACGGCGTACTTGAACGCGGGTTCGATAGCGCGCAAACGGATGGCGCTAGTATGACCGGGGATAATAATTTTATGCGCGATTTAGGGCAAATCCTAAACACTTACATTTTTGAGATATTTCAGTCCAACCTTTTCAAGCAATCTGTGTAATATAATAGCGCATTTTTTCTACGATCCTAGGTACATTTGCAAGAAAATTTTCTTTCGTGTCAACCCCCAACAGTCTCTGAAGGCTTGTTGGTCGAATATAAGAAGGATCGAAGCGCAGCAGATCATAGTACATCATTTGAAAACGCATCGACACGTCGGTAGCAAAAAATAGTGTTCTCTCGGAAAGTGTTTTGTCAGAAAAAAGATAGTGTTCTGTTAGAAAGTGTGATATATATTGTGTGATAATACATAAAATGGAAAACATCGAGCAGACTGAAGGCGATCTGATAGAGCGATCTCGCCAAATTGCCACCTTGAGCGAGTATTTTGCATAGCTGCAGCGTTGCGAGGAATTGATCAAAGAGCTCGAAGAACGCAGTCGTATTAAACGTCCGCGACTCTCGATCGGAAAGAGACAATCTCTGGCAGCTAAAATCGCGCAGCTCGAAGGTGCAAAAACTCGATTGCAGAAAAGATTTACTCCCAGTGGTGGTGAATACAGCGATGACAATAACGCGGAGAGACTCGTTTGGCGAGAGATCGATACCGCGTTCGAGAGTCGCGTATCGACTGGTGCGGTGATAAATTATAATCACATCGAACCGCGCCAATTTCTAGAGGATGCCGAAAACATTGTGATAGAACATGTGCAGGACGCTCTAGAAAAACACAGCAGTATAAAAGTGAACACAATATTCAATGGTGAATTTGTGGCCGGAGATAAACATGCGAATAAAAGTGTAAATACAAGAAACCATGAACTCTTTCGCACGTCCAATTTACGCGAGTGGTACGAACAGCGCGTTATCGAGTCCATCCTAGCGTCTCTGGAAGAATTTCAGGAACGCGATAGCGGGTGGGCTTTGTCGCGAATACTGAACTTGACTGTAAATATTAACAAGTTCAATCCCATGCACGCGGGATGTCACATCAAGTTACCGCGGGATATTATGATGAAGAGAGCGGTGATTAACGTGCAATCAAAGGACAATGCATGTTTCGCGTGGGCAGTGGTCGCCGCTCTGTATCCCGCCGAAAGTCACGCGGAACGGGAATCATCGTACCCGCATTACGCGACAGTGCTGAATCTCCGGGACATTGAGTTTCCAGCGACTGTGAACCAGATTAAGAAAGGACCCCGCACAAAACCTATGGAAATCGGTTCTCGGCAAATTTGTCTGAAACTTTAGGAGAATGTTGTTCATGTCATTCTGATCAAAAGTTCTCATGGCAATATCTCTCTTTAAAGCAGTATTTTAGCTCCAAGAGACCTCAAAGATGGATATTTTATCACGCGATCACAGATGATTTCACCGATTCAGCTTTCAAAATAATGATTGAGTGTGTGTGTGTGTGTGTATGTGTGTATTGCATAACACATTAAATCTAATAACCTAATGAATTGATGAATAACAGTAATAATAGCATGGACCGTGGGCATTAGCGTTACCCAATGTGCACCGCGAGGAGGTTGCGCGATCGGATTTTGCACATCATTATGGCCCTAAAAAGGACCGATTTTGTTCTTAATTCATGAAAAATATGTCTATTACTTGGAAAAAAACGAATCGTATTAAACAATACGATTTTATTCTGGAGGCAATCTGTTCGCGGCATCGTGAATGACATTGATAAGCCTAGATTAGGGATATTTGATATTTTGTTGATGTTGAGCATACCCAACATACCACAGTACACTAGCTATGTGTGCACACGTGCCTAGCGTTCGTGCACCTGATTTACACGTACAATAATAACCCTGTATGAGCTCATCTACAGCATCCGCTGGTTCTTGATCATTATTGTGTCGATACTTAATCCACAACTGATATTTAGTTGCATTCCGAAATCTTGAGAAAATTCTTACTCTCATGAGGCCAGGTTGAGGTAGCCTTTGTACGTTTCTCATCATTTCGACATGAAATTCTTCTTGACCCTCTCTTTGCAATTTATCCTGCACATACGATGGTGCTAAGTTGATTTGATAAATACCGACAGTGAGATCTTTTAAATACTCTAAATCTAGAATTGGGAAATCAAGAATTTGTTGTACATCTAATCGTACCCATCTTTGAGCATTACGTGTGTGCAGGTTATCAACCTCGACTAGTGCCTGAATAATATTTGGTGTTTTAGCTCTCTCAAGCATCTGACGAGCTAATTCTGCATTGGTTCCTTGCATCTCAATAACTGAACGATACCTATTGATTATTGCACCAGCAATACGATAAAAATCACCGAGATTCAAAAGGTGAGGTATTGGTATAATCTGTTGAAAGAATTTGAATATCGATTTGATATGCCCATTTCGAGCTTCAACAATCCATCTCGTCTTGGTAACTAATCGTGAATCATTGGCTTCTTCTGTAGTGATTTGATTTCTCCCTTGTTGAAGGCGTGCTGGCATTTTCCATATAATACCCAGCCGAGCCAAGAGCTCTGTAGCATCACGATATCCTCGATCTACAATTAAAATGTCTCCATCGCGGAACCATTCTCTCATTCTTTCTGCATCTCTCTCGAATTCATTCTCCAAAATCGCCGCATCATTATTCCGAGAATCGGAAAAATAAGGACCTTGAATATCGAAAATATATCCATCAAGTGCTACTATAAGTACAGGTTTCAGTAAATGACGACTCTTATGAATCGAAAAAGACTGACGTAATGTGCGAAAATTACTACATTTGGGTATATAACTATAAGTTCCATCGATCGCAGCAATTACACGAGGAATGTTTGGATTAGCATTGTACAATTCATTAACGAATTCAGGTACATGTCTTGCAATATAATTTTCTCTAGTAACTGAATTAAGACCAATGTTTTCCGGAACAAATCGTTGCATTAGAGATTGGCGAACAGTAGAAATTGCCATACTTGTTGCTTGTCTACTTGAATACTCGAAAATAACTTGCAAAAAGTCATCAGATAAACCCTGTCGTAGTTTACATAAAAACATCAAGAGATCCTTTTTCAATACGTATCTATAACCCCCATTGCAAGTTACTCTATCACAATAGTTAAAGAGTTCTAAAAATTGCTCTTTTGTCACGGGAGAGAATGATGAGAATTCAGAATCTGTAAGACTATTTTCATCAACAAATCTGCGCTTATTCACAGCGACATTGCGAAGTCCTTGCAGAAAAATCGCAAGTTGTGGACCTTTAAGAACATACGGTCTGTTTATAAATTGTAAACCACATAATAATGGCTCCAAGAAAAAACCTCTATCGTCAAGATGATGTTGACATGATCTCACATTCTCGGGAATATAAATATTGCACAAAATAAAAACATTTACTCGACAATCGGCAGAAACCTTGGGAACATCTTCAACATTGCATATTACGCAGGTACGATTGGCAGTTTGTGTCAAAACATTAAGTCGAAGGCAAGTGGGATCGTGTTCTATTATGCGTAACTCATCAAGAACGGATCGATTACAATTGATGCAGAGCCTTGTTCGATTTGTTATTTCAAGAACTGGTCTGTTAAAAGAATCACGTCTAACAATAGCGATTTCGCGACGAGCAGCATTTTCATCCCCATCTATTCGACTCATTTGTGCCGGTAGAAAAGCGCCATCACAGATATAACAACGTAATCTGTTTCGCCAAGCCATTCTGAATCAACGATTACTGATCGCGGTCTTTTATCAGCACAAACCAATTTCGAAACAGAAGAGAAAAGAAAAGAGCGTATTAATATATTATGAAAATAATAAAATATGAAAATTAATATATTATGAAAATAATAAAATATATTTGCGCTTTACTGCAATTATTTGAAAAACAAGGATAGGATAAACAATATTCTCAGTAATGCAATGTTAGATGATTATATTCATCCAAGTTTATACCAAGTATTGTTAAGCCCCGCGCAAGTCTTGCATGAGTCTCGCTGAATATACAGTCTTTCGTCGCGATAAAATCTGTTTATATCACAGGTGCGTGGAAAGTGGCACATAACGTGCTTGTCTTTTCCGTGCGCGAAGTAGCCGATTGAACACGCAATGCACTTGCGCATGCGCCATCATGGGAATGACTTTCCCGCACGGATATACCGTGCGGTAATGATGACCCCCTCCCACACAGAGACACACACACACAGACACACACACACACACACACACAATCATTATTTCGAAAAGTGAATCGGTGAGATCATCTGTGATCGCGTGATAAAATATCCATCTTTGAGGTCTCCTGGAGCTAAAATACTGCTTTAAAGAGAGATGTTGCCACGAGAACTTTTGATCAGAATGACATGAACAACATTCTCCCAAAGTTTCAGACAAATTTGCCGAGAACCGATTTCCATAGGTTTTGTGCGGGGTCCTTTGAACATGCAAATAACATTTCAATCAACGTGTACAGCATCGAGAAAGAGAACAACATTGCCCCGATACATCTTTCACAGCAGAAACGGGACAAGCATGTGAATCTGCTATACGTGGAAGATGGTAACAACAGCGTTGGACATTTCGCGTGGATCAAGAATCTATCCCGACTAGTGAGCTCGTAACTCAGCAAAAAAGATCACAAGAAATATATCTGCGATCGGTAAGTTTATTTTATATTATTTGAATAATTATAATTTGTATAATTATAATATGGATTGTTAAAATCTTAATTAAAATTTTTTTTCCTTTACAGATGTCTACATTATTTTGGTTCGGACGACAAGTTGCAGTTGCATACGGTCGACTGCGGAAAGCTAAACGACTGTGCTGTCCGATTGCCGAGCGACAAGGACAAGTGGCTCGAGTTCAGCAACCCTAATCGGAAGGAGCGGCTTCCATTCATTGTGTACGCCGACTTGGAATGCGTCCTGGCCAAGAAGGAAGAAGAGAAATTATATCAACATCATCATCAAGTATTTAGCATAGCTTACTATGTACATTGCTCGTTCGACAAATCTTTATCGGCGTATCATTCGCATCGTAGCGCCGATTGTGTAGCATGGTTCGTTAAAGATCTTAAAAATTTGGCATTACGCGTAAAAAATATTTTAAAAACAAATGTCCCTATGGTAGATTTAACGTTCGAAGAACAGAAAAAATTTTATCACGTTACTCAATGTCACATATGCGAAAAACCGTTCGCGCAAGACGATACACGCGTTTGCGATCATTGCCATCTGACCGGGCGGTACAGAGGTCCTGCACATTCAAATTGTAATCTAAATTATAAAGATTTTTTTTGCATTCCGATAGTTTTTCACAATTTATCCGGTTACGATTCTCATTTTATCATTGAGGAAATAGCCACAGCGTTCGAAGGGAAAATCGAGTTATTGCCGATAACCAAGGAAAAATATATTTCATTTACTAAAAGTGTTGATTTTAAAGAAGAATCAAAAAATCAAATAAAATTACGTTTCATCGATTCATACAAATTTCTCACATCGAGTCTCGATAAATTGGCATCATTTTTGGACAAAGATAAACTCAAAATTTTAAAATCGGAATTTCAAAATTTATCTGCCGAAAATTTCAATTTGTTAACGCGAAAAGGTGTATTTCCATACGAATACATCGATTCCATTGACAGGTTGCACGATACGTGTTTACCACCGCGCAAATCGTTTTACAGTTCTTTGACCGGTGAAACTGTATCCGAGAGCGATTACGCGCACGCCGAGAACGTCTGGACGCGGTTCTCCATTCGGACGCTGGGCGAATATAGCGACATGTATCTCAAAATCGACGTATTGTTATTAGCAGATATTTTCGAAAATTTTCGCGATAGCTGCATCAAAAGTTACGGACTCGACCCCGCGTATTATTATACTCTCCCCGGATACACGTGGGACGCCATGTTAAAGCATACAAAGATCACGTTCGAGTTGCTTACGGATACCGACATGGTTATGTTCATCGAACGTGGTATACGCGGTGGTCTGAGTCAATGTTCCAACAGATACGCTCGCGCTAATAACAAGTACATGGAGTCGTACGATCCATCGAAACCATCGTCATACTTGATGTATTTTGACGTTAATAATTTATACGGATGGGCAATGTGTCAACCGTTGCCCTATGCCGATTTTCGATGGGTCGACGACGTGTCGAATTTTGACGCGTCATCTATCGCGCTAGATTCCCCTACAGGCTATATCCTCGAAGTCGATCTCGAATACCCGCGACATCTTCACGATACGCACATTGATCTACCGTTTTGTCCAACGCGCGACAAGCCGCCCGGTAAGCGGGAATTCAAACTACTTGCAATGTTATATGATAAGAAGCGTTACGTGATACATTACCGTAACCTACAGCAGTGTACGCGTCACGGCCTTCGTGTAACAAAAATACATCGCGTATTACAATTTACGCAATCTCCATGGCTTCGCAGTTATATCGAATTAAATACACATTTCAGAACACTCGCGAAAAACGATTTCGAGAAAAATTTATATAAATTAATGAATAATGCTGTGTTTGGTAAAACGATGGAAAATGTGCGTAATCGTGTAGATGTAAAATTATTAACAAAATGGGATGGCCAGTACGGTGCAGAAGCGATGATCGCGAAACCAAATTTCCACAGCAGAAGCGTTTTTTCAGAAAACTTAATCGCTGTGGAATTGCGTAAACTCGAGGTGAAATTCTACAAGCCGATTTACGTGGGTATGTGCATACTCGACATATCCAAGACATGTTTGTATGAATTTCATCACGAGTATATGACGCCAATGTATCGCGATAAATGTAAGATTATGTATACCGACACAGATAGTTTGATATATCACATTGAGTGCGTTGATGTGTATGAGAACATGAAGCGCGATATCGCCAGATTTGACACGAGCGATTATGCGGTAGACAATGCGTACGGTATACCGCTTGAAAATAAAAAAATACCGGGCCTGATGAAGGATGAAAATAACGGTGCCATAATGACCGAATTCGTCGGGCTCAGAGCAAAGATGTACGCATTACGAGTGGATGGAAACAAAGACACGAAAAAAGTTAAAGGCGTCAAGAGCAACGTTGTCGCGAGAACGATAACGTTTGACAATTACACGCGGTGTTTGAAAGAAGAAATTGAAATGACGCGCCAGCAGTCGTGTATACGATCTAAATTACACCAAGTATACACGATCCGCGAGACGAAAATTGCTCTGAGTCCGTACGACGATAAGCGGTATATCGTACCTGAAACCATAGATACATTACCGTGGGGACATTATAGGATACCATTGTAATATGTAATGTAAAATGTAAAATGTGTGCGATAAATTATCTATTAAAAGAATTATTAATAAAGATTTTTATATTGTATATATTTTTATGTAATGTTTCATACATCTTATTATCTTATTAAAAAAAAATACATGTACTATTGAAAGGAATATTAATAAGGATTTTTTTATATTTCATATATTTTTATGTGTATCTCATGCATCTTATTATAACTTATTAAAAATACATATACTATAGAAAGGAATAATGATAAAGATTTTTTATGTATATATATTTTTATGTATATTTTTATTTTTCAAATATTATAATGTTATACATATATATTTTTTCCAGAAAATTAAAAAAAATAAACACTGTATGAAAATTAAATTAATTAATTAAATCACATTGTCTCTATGTATCCAAGAATTGTGCGAATTGTCAAATCCCAGCCATTTCACGTAAACCTCATCACCCCTCCTGCGCAGTACTTTCTCCACGAGATACACGTCCGGATAATTCGCGCGATGCAACTCGTATTCGTAGAACGCTCCAGCGATAGATTTTTTGCGATAATCCTCAAGTAGATAGCTTACGGGATTAGTATGCTGCACTTTTATAATTTTAAACACCTCGGTTGTCCAATTTGGCGTGTAACCTTTCTCGAAAACTGTCTTGTACTTGCTAACGCGTACCGAATCACCTACTTTGAATTTCGCCGGACCCGCGATATTTACATGGTTGTATACAGTAGCCAAGAGTCTTTCAGCGATCGCGGGGGTAACGTCGACGGGCCGCATACCGATCGTTCTATGCTTGCGCGCGTTGTAATTCGATACGAGTTCCGGCAACACGTTGATCCACTTGTAAGATCCGTTTAGCGTAAACATCTTCCACATGTCGTTTTTCAGCGTGCGATTGAATCGCTCAACGATCGATGCCTTTAATGTCGAATATGTAGAATAATGATTAATGTCGTGTTTTCGCATGAGCCGTTGCACGTCGACGTTATAAAATTCCTTCCCCATATCGGTCTGTATATTTTTCGGACACCTCTTGCTATCTCGAATTATCTCGGCGATAGCGTCAGCTGTCTCGCTTCCACCTTTACTCTTGAGTGGTACAGCCCACGCGTACTTGCTCAACGCATCGATGACAGTGAGTATGAAGTTGTAACCTCTGTTGAAACGAGAGTACGGACGCATCTCGACGATGTCGGCTTGCCACAGGTCATCGTATCCCCGCACTATAACATGTCTTCGGGGGAAATTTCTTCTCGCCGGTGCGTGCAGTTCATTCACCAACTGCCGTTTCTCTAAACTATGTTGTTTCTTCGCTTCTTCGATTATTCCCAATCGTCGATCCATCGTTGTTTCGATTCGTCGATCAAATAAACGATACGTATCACCATGCGTTTTATTATTCGTTGTCACTCT